TCAAAACGCCTGCCATTTGATATAAATAAATATATTAGACAGCTCAAAAAAGCGAATAGAGAGCTTCCAATAAGTGAGATTACTTGGATAGCAACGCAACAATCAATACTGAAATAGTAAGAGTAGGATGACTTACCTTGGCATAGTTGGGTTTGTGGAAGAAGGCCTGATTCACTTGTCACTACCACACTTCCCATCTTAGTATTACCTCCAAATCCTGCCAAACCAGATGCGTTGTGGTCGACAGCCGCATTTTCCCGGTCAGGTCTGGGTTGAAGCTGTTGACTATGATGCAGTTGTCGATGGTGCCTATGTGATTGAGTCTGTTGAGTTGACTTAGTGGCTCCAATCGGAGTCATCTGTTTCCAACGATGACGGGAACGTGTAGGTGAGGAAGGGGGAGGTGCTGCTCCGTAACTCTCAAGAAGAGCACAAATCTCCCCATGACCGGCTTTCATTGCAACCTTGAAGGGTGTTCGACCATAAGCATCTACTTGCAGAGCGTTGGCACCCCTCTATATCACACATTTTATTTAGTTAAAAATACTAATAATCGAAATCTAACTATTCTCAATGACTGTTGTGGTATTCGGACTCAGTTACCACAAGATAAATTCAATTAGTGGAAAAAAACAACCTGAGAACTATTAACTTCCTCTTACCTTGGACGCCCATTTGCATACACCTATCAAAATACAATAAGGTGATCTAGTCATGAGGTGTTCTGGAATATCATCAGCCTTTTGACGTAGTTCTCAGAATGTGTAAGATGTAAACCACAGATTTAGTAAAAAAACATTTTATTTACTCAGTCACACCAATTTACTCACCGCCTAAAGTCAAATAAAAATGTGAAAAATAGTAGGCGGCACAATTAAGAGAAGGAGGGAGGTAGTGTGACTTTTAATTGTCAAAAAGTGACGCAAGAATAAGATTTAAGGAGAATAGTAAGCATTGAGAAAACAAGGACAGTCACCAATCGGAGACCAAGTTGAATCAAATTTCCACGGGCATTCAAGTGGATGTAAGAACACAACTAGGTTGGAATTAACTTGTCAGGCAATACCAAATATTTCGTTAAGCGCGCCAAATCAAGTCTTTTACATCTAATGGATGTTGGAATGGCGAATGAACGTTTAGCTCCCTCAGTCCCTCGGTGCATAACACAGCTAGAAAGCCACTACTAAGATTCTCCTCTAGTAAGAGTTGAATAGTAAAGAGAAATTATCTCTGGCTAAACACAATTATGGAGTTTGGCTCAGTTTACGCTAATCAAAGCTTTTGGTTTGTTGGTCAGTGCTTAAGTAAATTTCGTTCTGCAGGTATGAAAATTCGCACATACCTGCAAAAGCAGTTCACAAACCCCTAGATGTCCTTCCTGTGCGGCAATACAGAGTGCTGAAGCGCCTTGACTACACACGGTGTTAATATTTGCACCTAGGTCGATTAACGCCCCACAAGTCTTTGCATGATTCTGCCAGGCGGCTGAATGAAGGGGAGTTCGACTCTCTTTGTCTCTTACATCTACAGGAGTTCCAACCTAAAAGAAATAAAATACCATGGATATATATATATATATATATATATATATAGAGAGAGAGAGAGAGAGAGAGAGAGAGAGATATGGGAGTAACTTCTCTAAGGGTACAATATTTACTAATCGAGTGTGCGATAGACTTACCTCCACGCGGTACAACCTGGGCAACGTATACTCATACGGCAAAATAGCCTATTAATCGGCAGTTGAATTCAAACTACCATGACCCCACTGTATGTCATATTTGAATACTTCCACATTACTCGCATCACCTTTTTTCTACCTTTGTGTCTGTCACTTTTACATCTCTGAAACACTCTTCTATTTTACCCCCCCCCTCCTTTCGACTTTTTTTTCACTCTGATGTTCCGTCCCCTCTGTGGAGCCTGAAGTCAACTAAAGGGCTAATGGTAACTAACCAAACGCCTGCCATTTGATATAAATAAATATAAATATATTTAATCACCATAGGTAAACCCATTATTGATGAACAATAAACTTAACCAGGACGGCGGTTGAATTGGGCCCTGTTGAATGAATAAGAAATGGGCAGATGTACTTCACTTCCCAAATAATTCAGTTAGGAGTCATTCGACACAAGTGACTGTCGATCGGGGGTAATTTAATTCATTCATTCCACCAAGAATAACTGTTAAAATTCCCAAAGCAGGATGCCCCCCAAAAACGTCTGACAAAAATGCCAGAAGAGCGCCAGTGAGGAGTAAAGTGCTCATCCACAGATAAGCCATGTATTCTGCGACTTTGAGTCAACCATACCAGTGTTCTTGACGAGCATTATTTGCTCAACAAAGGTTACTCTTTATTCTGGAATATCATGTTTTAATATCTAAAAACCAACATTAAAAAGCAGGTCCAGTATGATTGATTTGAAGTTGAGCATGACACTAGCCATTATTAAAATGGTCATAATAGGTATTTTCATTTTCAGACGTCCATCTAAGAAGGACTAGTCTATATATCCTGATAAGTTGATCTTTTCATTTATCCTAATTGTATCCACCCCCTCTTATCGCAAAGACCCTCTTTACATTCACTTATTATTATTATTATTATTATTATTACAATTAATTAGTTAGAGAAAATTTACCCATATTGTTACACTCCAGAGGCTTTGTAACTCTGCTGATAATTTTCCTTCCACAATCTCCAGCATTCCCGCCAATTCGACCTCACTCTTTCCTTCCCCTCCCAAGTAAACACTTAGTGCTCCTACATCTGTGCCCCTATCGATTTATATTAATTTATTTCAATGAATACAGGCTAGGCGGGCGTTTACGATAGCACAAACCGTGCTCTAATGGATCGTAATTAGCTCATATTTTTCCTTCACTTGATCGTGGAAGATAACAAAGGGAAGGGGAAACACTTTTGCTATTTTTTAAGGAATATGTGAATAACAAAGTATAAAATTCACAAATTTTCATTATCTAAAACTTGGTTCGCGTGTGCTAAACTTGCCTGCTCAAAATGTCGCGTGATGAAGTCTTACAAGATGCAAGAGTTTTCTAAGAAGGTGCGAATGAGGTTGATTGATATTAAATAAGGAAGGAATATTGAAAAGGAATGTTTTCTTTATTTGTCGCCTTTTGCATTGTGCCTCATTTGAGTTCCTATTCTTCGAAGGAATTAACACGGCTTGCATGAAGCCCACTAGCGTGTGCCTCCTTGTGACATTGTCGACTTGTTCGGCTTTCCTTGTAACTTCAATGCAATTACTTAGGAAATCTAAATGCGCATTACCCGTTGGAATAATATTTTCTATCTAGTGGTCAGTCAACTAATCACCAATTAGCGGTTAAAATGTATTGAAACGTGTTTCTTCAGGATATTGAAGCATTTTTGATGACGGAGGGTGGAGTTCAGTTCTCAAGATTTTTTTTTGAATTAAACTAAACACTTCAACGATTGTATTACTCTAAGAACCGTGGCCGTTGATCATATTGAAAGAATATAGTTTAACCTTACTTAAAAAATTCGCATCCCGGAGCATAATAGCAGTCTCAAACACAACAGTTTCCCAGTTTTTTTGTATTTCACAATGAAAATGGCCATTTACCTGAACGAGAAGATGAACCAAAGCGAGGTCGCCTTGCCAGGCAGCAATATGGAGGGGGAATCGTCCTTCGTCATCTGCAATTAGAGGATTTGCACCAACGAGACCCGTTGTTTGCCTCTTTTTTCCACCATCTCCACTTCCGGATCGGAAGCGGGCTGTTGGAGTGAAGAGAAGCACCTTGACTAACTTCACCAGTCCCTCTAGAACCACTACACTTAGCGTAGTTCGACCAAACGCATCCTAAAATGCGATTATAGCTAGGAAGTTTATCGAAATAAGCTAAAGCTTTTAACAATATTTGAGTAGAGTTGAGAACACATCTGTGGGAGACAGAATTCCAATTCTATCTAGAAGGATCCGATTCGAGAGTCCTAGCAAATACCTATTTTAATTCAAATCGTAGTCTTTTTAGCTTTTAACAAACACACACATTGAATTACTTATAATATTTAGGACCCATCTGCCCGAATAAACAATTTGTGAGATTTGGCAAAATAACACAAATATTAAAATGGCTTTTAGTTTTTGAACCTCCTCAAAATGGGGATTTCAGTCGGTATATGTGGTTTTGATCAATTACAAAGTGCTGAATATGATTGCGATGGTAAGTGAGAAAAAATCTTAAATATTTTTTTAAATTGACCATTTGATCGCCCAAATTTGCCAACATGGTTTGTGAAGGACGGTTCTAAATAAATGCATTTAAGTGGAATTCCCATTTAGTTACATTCACTCGTCCACTTTCTGAACCGATCGTCTTCAAATATCATTGATAAAGAAAACCAACCATTTCTCTAAGTGCAGTATTGTGGAATAAACCTCTTCATCAATTCTTCAAACTAGCTTTCTTCAAGTGAATTCAATGACAAAGAGGTCTGAACTTGAAAATTTTTCACAGTTCATTGGATAAAAGGCCGACTACAAAAGTGGCTTCCTTATAAATGTCAGGAATTGAATCAATTGAAATAAGTCCACGTATCACTTAAAACAGGCTTCTCGATCCTACCATACGATAGATCAGTTAGGATCGCTACCTTTAAAGATGGCATCTTTTGTATGAAAGGTGATCTGAAGTATATTATCTACATATTTTTGAGCTTTAAAAGGCCTACCTGCTGGTCTGGATCAGCGCCAAGAGCAATAAGAAGTTTAACCAGTGGAATATTGTTATTCAATGCAGCAACCCGTAGTGGACTTCGGCCATCCATCGACGGCCGATCAATAGTAGTTAGGACAGCTTGCCCAAGAAATCCATCTTGTCCTCCAGTTGTCAAAGGGTCATAAACCCGATGAGGATCACCAGAATCATGCTTTAAGTCTCCACTTCCACCTCGACTCATTGTCATAGCGTCAAAGAGCTCATGAATCAGATCAACATCTGCTCCTGTATCTACTGAAATGGCTGGTTTGAGGAGGAGATAAACAACGCTAACATGATCAGCCTGACAAGCAACAAGAAGGGGAGTTTGTCCTACATTATCGATTTCATCTGGATGAGAACCGGCTTCTAATAGGAGTCTACAATTAAATCAAAACTTATAAATGTATGCCAACGCAGACCAAATGGTAGAGGGGGGGGGAGTGAAATAAGGTGAATTAATTGAATTTACCTAACCACTTCAGCGTGACCAGCAGCGGCAGCTAAGTGCAGGGGAGTCGCACCCATATGATCTCGATGCCCTTCATCTAGACCCCGATCAAGAAGTTGACGGACGACCTGCGTGTGACCACAGGCGGCAGCAATGCTTAGAACCGACCGACCATTCAGATCGATTGTATCCACGGCTGCGCACCAGAAAAGAAGCAGCTGAACAACCTCCACGTGACCATTTACGACAGCTGCGACTAGAGCACTTCGACCGCTCCTGTTGGCAAATAAAGAGTTATTTGTAAAAGTTGTTTTCAAGACCATTTAACGACAGTTAACTCATGTTTCAATTCATCGACGATAGTAAACCCCGTGGGTATATGAATTTGCAATTAAATAAGGCCAAGAATTAGTATTTGATAAGATCGTAAAGCTTAATGGTTGCTTATAGTTATAATTTGGTAAAATTTCCAATTTCGCACTTCACCCAGCCTGCAATGTTATAGTGATAGCAGTACCAGGGCCACTTCGGAACCTAGAGCTATTCTTCTATAGAGAAAATCAAAAGACCAAATTGTGAATTGGCAAACTATCGTCCAACAGTTTTAGTGTAAGGACAGAGAGGAGCTGTAGTAAAATGAAGGGAAAATGAAATATGGCATTCCGGTATGCATATCTAGCCAGTTTGCTCGCTTGCGAAGTTGTGTGAAACAGAGAAATGGGGTGTGGCGAGAAGAGGGATCTGATTTTCAGTCCATTTTAATTCACTGCGGCAATTATGATGAGCATACTTGTGGGTTATCGCGTGGGTACTATGCGTAAAAATCCAAAAGCAATTTCGTTAGTTTCGACCTACTCCATTTTGACATCTAAGGGTTGCGGAGCTGGTATGCCAGGTTGATATAATCAACCCCTTTTAGATAATGGACTCTTTAACCAGCTTTGAATGCAGTGTGTTGGATCATTCAAAGCGGGACTTGGGAGTTAAATCCTCGTTTTTACGTGAAGTCAAGGAGGAATGAACTTAACTGAATAAATAGGAATTTACATTCCGTGTGATATCAATGGGTCCTTCATCCTCCATTTATCTCATTTCGCCGTTTCTAGTGCTTCGTTGACTGAATGCAATTATTTCATTTGTAGCTAGCAATAAATGTAAATAGAAAGAGTACGCACGTATTAATAATGCGCATTTATGCTTTAAATTTTGAGAGCAAGTTAGAAAGCTAAATTAATTAAAAAACATAGAGCCATGTGCACGATCATTCCTTTTGAATAGCTTAGAAGGGGTACAACTACCACTTCTTACGAAGAATTTGTATTGCTCACATCTATTTTGTTATTTTTAAAACACCTGTTCGGGTTTTTAGGAATGTTATGGGGTTGCTATGACCCAAATATTCCGCTTTTTGACAACTTTTAAGGGAATTAATGGCGAAAATGGTTACAAATGATTCATCACTGGATAATGTTTGCGTCTACAAAACATTTTTGCTATTCCGAATTAAAGGGGAAAATAGCTGCGCTAGAAAATTACACAATTCTTCAGATTCCCAAAATTATTAAGTATCATACGTGGTATAAAAAATGATTCACCTCAACTGCCAGTGACACGACATTTTCGAGCTACTTGTCGATCGTAAACTTTCAAATGGAGAATAGCCTTCTGGAATTTGAGCTAAAAATCTATTGACCGAATTCTGAGGCTTTGCGAGTGTAAAGTGAGGCTTAGTGCAATGAACCAGGCCCCTAAGTAAAACGAAGACAACAGAATAAACGCCGATTTCAGAAGCCCATTCGAATTTGAATCTGGCAATAAATCCTTGTTAGTGAAGCTACTTTTTAAGCCACAGTAGGCCTTTGTGAATGAGAGCAAGATGTAATCTGGACGAATTAGATGGTGAATTCGTGTTGACAAAACTCTCCAAGGACCAATGTGATTTAAGAGAAAAAGCAACTCAATTACGGCAAAACAAACTGGTGTTTTCATTACTTTCGTTAGAAAATGAGTTTTTTTGGAGAATTTATGGTTAAATAGCGGAGAGACTTTTTCCCACGACAGAGATTCAAAAATTAATCATGTTTTGTGGTATTTCTGTAAGACTTGAAATTGCCCATCTGTTGTTAAAAAGGTAATGGAGTGTGCAATATTCGAATTGCCATTAAACGAAAGTAGAAGTAAACCTCTCTTCGATGTTTTAGCAAAAATAAAAAAGTTGCGTAATTTGTGTTATTCCATAAGTTTCCATAAATTTATCACAAATAAGTGTTGGGGATAAGAGGACACAAAGCGGTTAAATTAATTTTATAAGACAAAATATTTCAATATTTGCTGAAGCTTTCAATGCACACTAATTTACATATGCACTATTCTTTTTTTACCATATTCAGGTAATGATTTCCTTAATCGGTAAGAATGCAGCTTCACTCCATGAATTTGGCTTATAAAGCTCAAATATCATCTTGTAGAAGATGTCTGGAAAAGAGAGCTTAAATGGACTTCATGATTTTATAGAATGAATAAAACGTAAATTTAGCGGCTTTAGGGGCATGTCTAATTTATGTGTTAAAGCAGAAGTAAATGAAATGGCATCGGAAAACAATTGTAAGTTTTTTGGTGCTTTGAATCTTGCCTATTTGTGTGACTTTGATGAGTTGTAACAGCAATTGCAACTCCACACACACACACACACCTCCGAGTCGACAGTGATATTAAAGTAAGTCGACATTGGTAGGGTGGGAAATAGCCGTTTAGCCAATGGCTGTAGTAGCTCAGACCCATAGGAAACAATGGAGAGGAATTGTAGCCCAACGACCTTTTACCTTATCTCTTCATTATGAGAGTCCAATTGACTACTTTCGACAAGCAAATGTTAAAATCCAGTTTGTGTTCAGACAGAATGCAGGAGGCAATTTGTAAGTTTATTTCTCTGCTAGACAAATTATTCAACTCTATTTAGGGGTAACAAATTACGGCTAATTGTTAAGGGAGTGAAATGCTCACCCAAAAGCTATTGCAGATAACACGTCCGACAGACATACATTCCCTGCGGCTTTTCTCTCATCAGAGCTGGAATGCCGCCAAGCCTACTAAAGCCCCATTATTGGCATTTATGGTGAAGTACTTGCAGTCCGCGAAGTCATGGTTGGCTTAAAAGCTTCAACTCAGGCAATATGGAAATAAATAAGGTGGCCAAGGGAGGACGTACGAAAATTCACTGTTACTATAGAAGAAAATCGCTCTGGAGGCTTCTAGCGTGTATTTGTTGGAATGCACTTGGTGGGACAACCTATTATGAATTGCAAAACCCGGGTGAAACGTTTATGGACGAAGTTCATGGTTGTCAACAATTGGGAAGACCGAACCAGAAATTTCAAAGTAGGCATAAAAGTTCGTGTATCAGAAATGATAGATTTCGTCAACGCGACAATGCCCTTTAGTTCCACAAAGCAAGAATGGATTTCCCGAACTGGAGGAATCAAATTGGGAGGTTCTATCACTTCCTCCATGCTGCCCAGATCTCGTCCCATCATCCCGCTGCCACATTTTCAGATACATACAACGCATGTAAGGAAAAAGCACCTTTGAGACACGATTGAAGTGGAAAACAATTGAAAGAGTATTGAATTCGAATCAGCACATTTGTTTTAAAAAATGGTGCTGAAAACTGTATTTTAAGGTAGGCAACATTTTAAGATTGTTCTTGGAATGCTTGATTTTCTATTTGCCCTCCTTATATTTGCAAGATTTAAGAAAGTGATGAACTGCCTTGTTAGCAAGTAAATTAGTTGTGAGGAGAGTTCATTTCCAGTGGAGAGAACGAACAAAAAATGTCACGATTCCACAACTCCTGTGGTAACCTCTATTTGTTAAAGTATACTAAGATTTAAATAAACAAATCGAAAACGAAAGTTAAAAAACATTATTGGTACTATCAACGATTTGCGTTTTTAATTTAACCTAATAAAGCGCTCAATTAATTTGCTTTTGACAAAATTATCTATTTAGAAGAGACAGAGCAACAAAGCGAAAACCCCCTAATAAAATAAAATGGATCAAGTTACATGTTCAAAAAATTGTACCCATGAGAAGTTGCTTTCATCTTTCGATTAAAATATTTCAATTGTTCTTCTCATCTCCAAAGATTTTGTACATTTTCGCTGCTTGATAGAGACAATTTGAAACTATTTGGACATATCAGGCACATTCAATAAAAAGTACATGAAGATAGATTTTACTTGTTAGCGCCTTAGACTAACATAGGATTAAGAAACTGGACTTATTGTATCGTAATTTTACAGCTGCATCCCATCTCCTTCATGAAGCATTTTTTTGACAGCGCTTTTCCTATCTTCCCAAAGCCTTCTTTTACCTATTAAACAAACATAGTATTCCAGGTTAGTTTGAATCAAGAGATGACAAGCAGCCAAATGTGGCAGACCCCTTCTAGGCAATTTCCCTGGCTGGACTTAGTGCCACCTTAGGGTAAATGGAGAGTAGACGATGAAATAAGATAAATGCATCATTACAGATACATTCACTTCTTTCAGAAAAGAAGATTAATTTGAGGGCACACTTAAAGATGTGGCAAAACTGACTCTTTAAATGGCCCCTGTTGCAGGTGAAACAGTTTTAGAAAAAGATTACAACATTTCACGATGCCTACGTCTTAACCGCAAATGAGGTCAATGTAGGTTAGTTATGCGTACCCCTACACTCGTACTACATTTTGCCTCCTTTTGTGGTTAAATTGAATTTATTGATGGAAGGATATTCATAATTTCTATGCAATTTTCTTTACTAATGTCAGACTGTGGTGAAAAGTTTCAGGAAAATCGAAGTAGGATATGAAAGAAGTTGCCTGTGGTGAACAACCAAGAAATGCGAAGCTTAACCGTTATATGAACCATAAGTGGGCATTTTAACTACCACAAATTACCACTGAATTTCTTCCATCTCGGCAAGTGGGCAATGTGACAAGGGAAATAAAATTAGGGGAGTTGTGCCAAATTAAGGAAATAACAAGTTCCTCAAAATCCCATGAACGCTCCACTAGTTTTGCCCCGGTATTTGATCAATATATACTCGATCAGCCTATTTCCTTACTAAAAGTTAATGTTATAATGAAGTAACGTCGATACTGTATGAGTATCATTGGAACTCACTCAGTCGTAAGACGAAATGTTTTTTCTTTGCAATTTGTAAAACTGTTATATGCCTACCGTTAAAAGTTCCGTTAGATTGCCCACTGTTTTTTAACTACTTCAATAATTTTCGCCAAATCTTCATCTATACATATAGATATCGAGTTCTGTTATTTCACCTAATCTGACCCGGATGTTACGGCTTCCCACCACAGTCCAAACCCCGGCAATCTTCTTTCAAACTCCAACAGTCAGGTCCCCCAGCTAGCCACTTCCACATCGGCAAATACTACCGACTTCTCTCTGCGAACCCCAACTACACTCCATCCATATACCACTTTTATTAAATGACATCTATCCTTGATACTTCATCTCTTACGCCGTAGGCATACATCGAGTCATAAGAATTTTTACTCATTTAGGAATTGCTGGCATCAAATATTACTTACCTCTCCGCCTTCTGGTAAACAAATTAAGAAATATTATGAAACAGTTTAAAAAATAAACTAACTTGTCAACTAGATCGACATCAGCATCGGCTTCCAAACAGAGTTCACAAACGTCCCGTCTGCCAGTGTTGGCAGCGCCTATCAGAGGAGTGACATGCTCCCTGTCACCGATGTTAGGATCAGCTCCAAGTTGAAGCAGCTTTGCCACTACCGCACTGTGCAGAGCTGACTGCGGCACACAAAACGCGGCAACACATAGTGCCGTCCTCCCATCTTGATCAGCATGATTCAAATTTGCTCCTGGAAATGAAGAACAAACTGTTACAATTTCATAAATATTCGCACTTTGTTATGCTAATAATAAACCTATTCTTTAAAAAGTTGTTGCCGTATTTTGATCATAGTAGGCAAACCGAAAGTAGTGCCACAAAAAAACTGGAAGATGATTGAATATAAAAAAATGTTAGATTTGGAAGAGAGGAGAAGCCATAAAATCAATATCACAAGCGAGTAACTGACACAGTCTGTACAAACTTATGAGGAAATTGAAATTTGTGAGCTGTTTCGCTATAAATTCATATATGTTAGCCTCTTTGAGCCATCTTTACCATAAGAAGTGAAGAAGTTTGCTGACACATTCAAATAAACGGCCCTGATGAGAGTGGATCCAAAGCCCAGTCCTTTCAACATGGCCAATTCTGAGTGTGTGCTTCCTTTAACAGCCGCACCACTTTTAATTGAGTGAGGTTGAAAAATTCAATCAAATCCAAATATCCGTCTTTTTAAAAAAAACAGTATCCCCGTAAAATTTAGTTAAAATACTAATTACTGAGAGACCCAAACTGCAGTTAAAGCTTGGCAGACTTTTTGATTTCCAGACTGAAACCTCCTCTTAAATTCCTCTCATTCCATTCCATAAATAAGTTACTTAAAGTTGTATTCATTGGATATAACCCTCAGATTGAGTGAATTGAGTACGTGGCAATACGGCAGCCTCAAATATTTAAAACCGTTGCCGCGGTGTGCGATAGACTTACCTCCACGTGGTGCACCCTGGGCAACGTATACTCATACGGCAAAAAAGTCTATTAACCGGCATTTGACTTCTGACTTCAAAAGACCATGGCCCAACTGCTTGTCATATTCGACCCCTTCCACAGTACTCATCTTACCTTTTTCCCTACCTTTATGTCTGTCTGCCTCTTTTACATCTGTGAATCGCTCTTCCGTTCCCCGCCCCTCGACTTTCTGCTACTTTGATGAACCTTCCCTCTGTGAAGCCCGAAGTCAGCTAAATGGCTAATGATATCTATCAAAACGCCTGCCATTTGATATAAATAAA